AAGAAGAAGATGAAGAGTTTCAGTAGTAGAGAAGAAAAGAGAGGAAAGAAAGAGTGGGATGTTAACCAGAATTGAATTAGTTCTGGCCGCCAACCCCTCATTATATTTTATACTTAACTTAAAAGAATGAAAGATTACAAGAATGCCCTTAGTAGGGCGGCTACTAAAGTAGCTGAATAGTCACAACTTAAAAAAAACATAAGCTAATGGGCCTAAAGCCCAACAACTTCCTAACTTAACAACTTAAAATAAGAACAAAACAACTGGGCCCAATAACTAGAAATTGGCCCAACTCAACAAAACCAATGAATCATTAGAAGTTTATCAAAGGATACAGAGGAATGGTTGTATTCCAATGCTTCTTTCTACAACTCTTTGATTTACATCCTAAGTTGGAAGCCTGGAATTTGGAAGGCTTAACGATGGTTGTGAAGCATGTGAGGAGATGTCAAAGCATGGAGCCATGGATTTACTCTCAAGTGTAACAACTTATTATACTATGATCTTGGCTGCTTGTAAGCATTCACAAAGAAGAAAATGCTCCAAAGCTTGTTCAGCAAATAGAGGATTGCTTCTGCAAGCCTGATCTCAAAATGTCTGCCCCTATATTTAAGATGCATTGTAGAGAGAATTGGATGAAAGTCATTTTCAATATATTAGATGTTATAATTAAAATATCTATCAAAGAAAAAAAAAGAAATGATGTAATGTTTAAAAAGGACATCAGCTTTGAACTTGGGACCTGCACTGTCTTGATGCATGGACTATGTACAAATGAGAAGCTACATCTAACCTGTGTCTTTTTGAGGAAATAGGGTAGAAAGAAATGGTTCCTAAGTACAGCAAGTATGCAATGCTGGTGGAGAAACTTTACAGAATGAACATGAACAAGGCAAAAGAAAGGATTGAGCAATTGACAGCACAGGGAAAAAGTGTGGAACATTCTCTTCATTGCTTTGAGATGTATATTAAGCTTCAGAACATAGTTTTCAAGGCACCAAGGCGAGGACAGGGTAGGTGCTTTGTTGCCTAGTTTCCTAAGTGAGGTGACGGAGTTTTTTTTTTTTTTTTTTAATTAAAATCATGAATTCTACAGTAATTCCCTAGGTTCCATAGCAACCACCAACCAGTTTTCACTTGAAATTCTCTATAACCTTCAATGTTAGATCATAGAAAATCAACATATTCATGAGAAGATAAAGAAAAAAGAAAGAAAATTCAGAAAATGTAGGGGCTGAGCCCCTATTTTTGTCCTAGGAAAAGAAGAAATGGGTTGATTGGACAAAATCTTAAGTTCTTCCTTGCTCATTATTTTAGGTTCTAAGTTCTTGAGAGTTCAAGACATCATACACCAACATGTGTGTTGATTGAACCATAACAAATAAGAAAATAATAAAAAGAAACTAGTTTATAAATCTACAAAATGAATAATTTAGTTTAATAATATCTATTTTATTATTATAATCTAAAAAATATACAAAATATTTCACAGCGCCATGTACAAAATAGCTTGGTGTTTAAGTGAAGGAACCCTCCATGGTGCCTTGTTGTCTAGGCATCACCTTAACAACTATGCTTCAGAATGGGTAGGTTGATTTGTTTGCAGTCATCAAGTTGTGTGTTTTACTCTCCCTGAATTTTATTGTGAATAATTTATACATGCATGCATTGGTATCTTTTCTGAATATGCATTGTTCCTGAACAATACAGTGTTCTTTGCCTGGAATCTGTATGTTTGTCTGCCACTTGGATTTGCTACTAACAGAGTTAACACTAAACACAATCTCTTTTTGATCAATGACTGTCAAATTTATTAGTTATAAAGCAAAAAAGTCCATTTATGTACAGGTGTTCTTTTTATAAGGAGTCTCATCTCTATTATTTAATCTTCTTTTTCTTTTCCTTACAACTGTGACCAAAACATTTGTTCTCTCCCCACCCCTTGCTTTGCTAGAGCATCAGCCAAGCTATTATGGGCTTCCCTTGGAATCCAATGAACCCTCACATCTCCATATCTCTGTTCAGCTACCTGAACCTTTTTACTTCATTAGTGTAGGAACAGAAAGCAGCCTCACTTTTTTACACTATCCTACCATCAATTTTGAATCTCCTTCAATAATGATCTTTTTTTTTGACCAACAAATGATTTCATTAAAGATGAAGATTAAAGTTAATACAATTGTTGAAGATACAAACACCCTTTGGTAGCATTCAATAATGAACTTTTCCACATCCATTTCCTCTGTTTTTTGCAAACCTTCCATAATATCCATAATTTCAGCCCTTATGGAATCTCCTACTCTTATTGGGTTCAAGAAGAAAGCAACAATCTGACCTTCCTCATTTCTGAAGGTCTAGACACAACCATTTGAAAAATGGGTATTAAAAAGAAGAAACAAACAGCATCTGAAAATGCATTCTGACATGGAACTGCCTTATTAGTTAAGGAAAGCCTAGAGATAACAGCAACCTAAATTTTCCTGTTGTTATCGCATTTTATTCTCTCTCCTAAAAAGGTAGAGATGAAAGAAAATTTATCAGGCTTCCTTCCCCTTTTAATATCTATCTCTCTGCTAGTCAACTACTGGGCTAAAAAAGGGCTATCATTCAATGATATTACTAGTTATCTGTAGTCTTGGGAGGGTACACTGTATAGGGACTTACTAAGCTGTGCATCCAATATCTATCTGCCAGTTAGATCTTGGTAATGATTTGTGATATATTTTATGGTCTTGAGGACCTTTTTTTTTAATAGCACCGTTAATTAATAACTTCCCCTTGAGGTGACTTGACAAGGGATTAAATCTTTTCTTGTTAGTCAATTTGGTCTTCTCTGTATGAAGCAACAACCACTCTTCAACTTTAACATTGATGTCATAGAAAGTAGAGAGAGAGACAACAGGAGTGGTGTATTCAGGTTCAAATCACTAGAAGCGTATGAATTGTCCAAATGACTGGATATTCTTTTACCAGAATGAATACTTGAAATCCCATAAGGGAACTAACTAAACTAAGGCCTTTTTTCATCCTACTGTTTGATGGAATAAGGGCAATATTCATGCTTGAAGGACTAGATGACATGATTGCAAGGAACAGTTTATCTGGGCTTGAAAAACTGCATTCAAGAGAAGATCAGTGGCACAGTCACTACTGTTGTTGTTCTGCCTTATATTGACATTACAGAAACTGTTAGAAGGGAATGGAAGAGATGAAATTTGAGCTTAGATTTTGCACAGAATAAAGTACTTTGGTCTGTTATAAGATATGATGCCCAGATGCAGATGCGGACACAGTGGATATGGGAAATGGGGATATGACTCTCTGCTTTCATACCTAGTTTTTGAAGTTGAATGCCATTTCTCAAGACTTATGTTGCCATATTTAATTAAATTTCCAATATGTACAGATTTTTTTAATAGTATAATTTGTTAAAGATTACTATTTTATATATTTTAGAAGTGTTATCTGTGCAGTATCTGGTATCATATACATTGCTACACTAGGCATGTATAGGGCATCTGGGTATCATAAGTTACCAGCATGAAAAAATGTTAGAACTTTAATGAGTTGAAATTGCTGGATCATCTAACTAGTGTAGGGATAATATTTAAGGACATTAGGTACTTGATTGAACTAGGAAGTGGAGTGGGTTCAGGTTGAGGAGTCAAAGAAGTGATTAGGTAATTTTTATACTTTTCTGTATATAATCGAATAGGTAATAATATTATTATTTTTCTCTATAATTCCTTTTCTTGATTTTTTTTTATGCACAGTCGCACAACAAACAGAAGATACTACCATTCTCTCTCTCTCTCTCTCTATGAACCAACTTAGAAGAAGATAAAATGGTGAAATTAATGATAAAGATAAGTTAAGAAATCACTTTTTAATCTTGTCAATGAGATGAACCTCTTACCAGGCATGTTCTCCCTTAAATCAAATCTAATTATTTGAATGAACTCAACTCATTTAAGCCTTGTCTCAACTACATTAAGTTGGCTAAATGAATCTTGTACTGCCATTCCACTCTGTTCAGTTCGTATCAACTTCCTAGCATGAGCACAAAATGACTCTGGCAAAAGTTTTAATGCCACCTGCCAACTTGACACAACTCTCCTTTATCTGGGTTTGGGATCAGCAGTGCAAAACAAGCTCACACTGGCAAAATTAACTGTCAGAATGATGGTGATCCAATTTTTCTATGGACAGTGGATGCTACTATCTTCCTATTCTGAGATAGGCATACCAATACTTTGCCAATGCACTAGCCTAAAATTCATTATTTTGTTATTGGAAGGGTACATTCTATTTGAATGTATGCTTTTCTTCTTAATGCCCTCATTCTGGCTGAAGGGAAATGTTCTGCATTTGAGTTGATCTAAAACCTAGGAGGTATGCTTCACAAGTATTTTGAATTAATGTTTTTAAAACTGTCCTGTAAATAGAACCAATTTTGCATCCAGGTGGCAGTTCAGCGGCTCAACTGTCTGGTTCAAATGCATCAACTCATGACATCATAATTAAATAATAAAAATATAAAAATACAAAAAAAGAAATTACAGATTCTTTTTTGAAAAATTGGACAGATCTCTAATATTATATATTCATTATATTAAATAAAAATAAATGTGATAAATAAGAATTATTTTTGTAGAAAAATCATTTTCTTTTACTTCAACATTCTCTTAGATTTCAGAGGTGAAGGTTTAACATGTAGATCTAGATCTAAGTTTTGTTCGTAAGTCAGATAAGAATTCCCATTTATCGGCTTAAAGATTGTTAATTGTGACAAGTATTGATGTTTTAATTTTTTGCTACATATTGGTGTTTGTGCCCTGACATACTGCACTGTGGTTGCATATATTTTATTTATTATGATTAGATTGCTCATGAACAACAGAAAATAAACAGTCAATTGACAGTACAAATTTATGGGCTTCTCTGCATTTCTTGTTTGCTTGATCCTTTCATCAAGTAATAGTTCTCCATGGTGACTGCAGTCAGAGACATCCATTTTGAACTGAACTCTTCGTTATGGAGATTGATCAGAATGTAAAAGACCATTCCCTTGTTCTCTTGAAGCAGGGTGCAGAAGCTGTAAGCGAATTTCATTTTTTTCTCTACTTCCAAGAACTTGACTTTGACACACACCTGCTTCTAATGCTTGTTTTTGCCTTTTGCAGAGAGTATACGAGTCAACTTTTGTAGGAAGGAGGTCAATTATCAAGGAACGTTTCTCAAAGAAGTATAGGCATCCGATATTAGACTCAAAAATTATCCTTAAACGCTTGAATGCGGTTAGTTTCTTTCAAGAGAGTTGGTTTCAACCGATGTAGTTTCTATTCCTAGAATCTATGAGTTGGTACATGGTCAACTTGTCATGGTTCTATCTTCATTGCAGGAGGCTCGGTGCATGACAAAAGCAAGACGACTTGGTGTTTCCACACCAGTACTGTATGCTGTTGACCCTGTACTACATACCCTAACATTTGAATATGTAGAGGGTCCCTCTGTTAAAGACATATTTCTTGGCTTTGGTTTGCATGGTGTTGTCGAGGAAAGAATGGAAAACATTGCAACACAGATTGGTGATGCAGTTGGGAAATTACATGATGGTGGCCTGATTCATGGTGACCTGACAACATCAAATATGTTAATCCGAAGTGGTACCAATCAACTGGTGAGCTCTTGGATCCTGCCTTCCACATTTTCACACACATTCAAACCTTAAAAATCGTGTTAGTTGTTATTCTTTGACCCTGCTGTTATGTCAGGTCCTCATTGACTTTGGTCTGAGCTTCACATCAACTCTTCCAGAAGACAAGGCAGTTGACTTATATGTACTTGAGAGAGCTTTGCTGTCAATGCATTCCTTATGCGGGAATGTGGTATGTCCAGCAGGCCTCTTTCTCTGTTTTTCTTATTTCCATATAAATATCAAGATCCTCATAGTTTGCCTTTTGGACAGATGGATCAGATACTGGCTGCTTACAGGAAATCATCGAAGCAGTGGTCATCCACATTGAACAAGTTAGCTCAAGGTGCAGCTCTATTATTTATTTTCTCCACATTTGAAAATGGTTGCTCATTGTTTTTATCTCAATCTTACTGGTTTCATTTTCTTTTCTAAAATATTTTACAGTGCGACAAAGAGGTCGAAAGCGCACCATGGTTGGATGAATCCTCAGTGATTGAAGAATATAAAATAACAGTATGTCAGATAGGAGAAATGCCATTACAGATCAATGAAGACTACAATATATTTTTATTCAAAGCAATATTTGTGAGCATATTTTGTACAAACGATATCTTTCTCTGTGTTTTCTTTTTGTTTAAATTTTACCTTTTATTATGGAATCTAGGGCATCATACTTGAGTAGTAAAATTATCTCCACTTGTGCAGCTAAAACTTGCCTGGGGGTGTTCAAGGCATCCTCTAAATCGGCTAGCATCTTCTTCACTTCTGTATCTCAACCGGCTAGCATCTTCTTCTACAGGACAGAGAAGAGTTAAGGCATAAAAAAAGGCCCACAGATGTGTGATCATCAACAAAAAGAGGGATCAATGAGTTCAGAGTTTGCAGTCTCATTACGCTGTTCTTGATATCCCAACTAAGTTTTTCAAAAGAAAAACATTCTCATTTGCATTTGCCTGCTTGTGCGGCAAAAAAGGTTCCTCAATCTGAGAATCCAAGACTACCAGCAAACTTTCAACACTTTTTGACTTGGCGACTTAATTCCACATCAAGTTCTGAGACAATTATTCTTCTTCTATAAAGTTTTTATGATGACCTTCCCAATTCCCATGCTTTGCAGCATATGCCACCAAAACATCATTTAAAAATGGTTGCAGGCAATACCTCAGATTCCAGCATACTTAACCTGGATCAAACCATCCTAATTCCAAATAGAACACTCTTATCGTGGTCTTATCCACTTGGGTAGATCACACATCTGTGGGCCTAATTCCACATCCTAATTCCAAATAGACCACTCAAATAGTCAAACCAACCTAATTCCGATTATCCAGTATCTCCAAAACGAGTCATATAGCTCAAATAACATCTTCCCATGGCTTGATCTGTCTCCTATTAATAAAAGCTACAAGATATATTCCCTTAAAAAGCATATTAGAAGAGTAGTGAATGCATCGTTTTTCTCCTTTGCAGAGAAATGCCACTCTGTAATCAAACAAACAGCATTTCTCCTTCTATTGGACGACAGAGTGTACCACTATCGACTCCATGAAAATTTCAGTCAGGCCCTGCCACAGAAAATCATTGAGGTATTATCAAACTGTACTAGATCAGTAGAGAATTAGAGATGAAACATGAAAGCTATTCAATGCTGTATTACACTTCAAGCCAAACTACATGACAGAGAGATGCAGTTTCCAGGTCTGAAGCTTGTTTCTCATCTTCGATGACTAGCTTCTGACGGTTATTTATGTTCAGCATTGTAGAGATGGCAAGGTGGTCGTAGATGTTTTATTGGAAAACTTCCTGAGCAAAACCCATGGTAATGGAGTTATTTTTCAATTTAGGGAGACTCCACAAGAAGGGACGAAGCTCTTGCTAACTTTGAAGGCAAAGAGAGTGTACGTGAGAACGATGGAGCTCTACAATAAAACAATTTATTATTCCTAACAACACCCAATTTTCTCATGGAGCTCTACAATAAACAACACACAATTCTACAATAAGGGGGTGTTTGGTTCACGGGAATAGACATTTGGAATCAGAATTAGAATGGGCCATTTTGATTCCAACTGTTTGATTGGGTGGAATTAGAATCCCATTCCCATTCCAGTTGGAATGGCATTCCCCATTTGAGGGAATGGCCATTCTGGGAATAAAGTCTCATTCCAGTTTATACCAATTCTGATTTCAATTCCTGTCTTAATCAAACAGACTATGGGAATAGACCATTTCGATTCCAATTCTGATTCTGATTGCTTTGGACCTGTCTTAATAAAAGAGGGAAAATTTGTCACGGATAATCTACCTGCCTAGCAGATTGCTTTGGACCAAAAGCCAAGCACCAACCAAAACTTCAATTCTTGAAGCTAAGCACCTCTGAGATGAATTTATACAAAGAAATTACAGAATGCAGTTCACATACAATTTTACCTGAAGTGGTATTAATAGTATCTCCCAATATAAACCTTAAGCAAATTGAGAGAGAGAGAGAGTTTTAGCCAGTCACTGATACTGTTCTTTTGTTTACAAAAATGGCTTTTCAGTCGTCAAGAGTCAGGAGTCAGGTAATCAAACCATACACCTAAATCATAAGCCATTTTTCTCGAGTCATATCCGCATGGGAAATTGGGACCCCAATCAAAAAAAAAAAAGGCAAGTTCCAAACGAACTGGGCCTAGAAGAGTAGCTTCAAAGCAATTCCTTTCTCCCATTTGCTAAAATAACCTGAAGCCGCTCAGGCCTCCCTAACCAGATCCATAAAACCTGGAATCCAGGATGAGAAGCCCACGTATGAAAATGTTTGCCTCCTCATTCCTGTCTTTGAAGGCTTCATGTTCCCATGTGACATGACATTATATCACATGGGACCTTAACTCTTAAATATTACATACTCCGTTGGTCCCACTTTGATCGTTTGAATTCCATGGGCCCCACAAGATCCGTCGGTTGTTGTAATAATCTATTAAAGTGGGGGCCCCTTTGCTTTGTACTAGCAGCAACTACGTTTGCGCACGCAATTCCATCGTAATATTCCTTAGGTCCCACATGATCCCTCGGGCCTTTATTTTCGTGGACCCCCACTGGATCGGCCGGCAACCAGAAGCCATCTAAATAACATTACGTGAAAACGACAATATTGTTGAGAGTGGGATTTGAACCCACGCCCTTGCGGACCAAAACCTTAATCTGGCGCCTTAGACCAACTCGGCCATTTCAACTTCAATGGCAGATTTAAATTATAAAGAATCTAATTGCTTCCATAAATTCCAGACAACCATTCTAAAAATATTGGTGGAAAATATGAACTACGCAAAAGCTTGGGTCTAGAGACATGGAAACCATTAGATCATTCTTGAGCCTCAACTTCCATCTGTTTTCGATGATGAAAACCAATTACCATTCAATGGGTCCTACCTTGAAGATTAATTGATCCAAGTTAACCTAATTTTTTTATCCATAATTTGTGTTTTAAAGCAAATACTTCGAATATGGCCAACGGTCCTAATGAGACTCTTTGAAAGCTTTGAAATTGATTTGCTAAACTCAATAAAACTTAGGTTAGAATTAAGTGGGTTTGATCGAGTTTAGACTAGTTATTTAGGTTTGAAAAATCATCTTACTAATGCTTTTCAGATCTATCTTTAATTTGGACTTTACTCAGGCTTTATAGTCCAATATAAAAAAAAAATAGAACAAAAAAAAGAATTTATGGAAATGTTTTTACATAATACATAAATATATATACTTTTCGTACATAATATGTGTCTTACAAGCTGAAGGGACTCTAGAAGAGCTAAGGGAAGATTGAAAAGTACTTGGGTAGAAGTAATAATGCCCCACTTGGTTGGCGAGAATAGGGGTTTGGAATTGGAATCAGAATGGGCTATTCCAATTCCAACTGTTTGATTGGGTGGAATTGAAATTCCATTCCCATTTCTGTTGGAATGGCCATTCCCTGCCCCTCACTTGGGAATGAAATCTTATTCTTGCTAATTCTAATTTCTACTCTTATTCTTGTCTGAATCAAATATATTATGAGAATAAACCATTCCAATTCTGATTCTGGAGGATTTTGATAACTTCAAATCAAACAGATGCTAATTTTGAACTTCTGATAGAATACAAATGTACCCAAAATTTTTGCATCACTATGAAAACACTTAATGCAAACATAAAAGAAGAGCTTACAGAAGGCTTCCTTGTCTCTCATGCGCTTTTAAGAAATAGTCTGTGGAGGCCCAAATGAGATAGATGCATAATTAGGGTTCCTAGTGGATATTAGAAAAGTGCATTATATAATAATATAATTTCAGAGGCGACATTCATGGATACAGAAAGTTTGATGAGACGATCATGACCGCCTCTGTAGCGTGCAGAAAGGTCGATGGGAGTTTGAAGCAGATTTTTAGGTTTTAGTGATTAGAGCTATAGTTTTATCAAACACCATCTAAGATCAATCCTGGCCTGAGACTAGATATTTAGGCTCATCCACTGATTTTGGGCTTGTCTAAACGATGATTATAAGCACTATGTTCAAGATGAGGCCAGCCCAAATGCACCCCAAATTTGTGCGTGAGAGACATGGGCGTCCATGTATCTAACCCAGCTCATGTATTCAATTCCTGTGCACAAAAGACCAAATCCTGGAACAATTTATTTTAATTATTTACCCACATTTTTTTTTTCATACTTTGACATGATCTGCGGCAAAATGCTTCATCTGAGAGACTGTGATTGATGCAATCCTTTTAATTTGAACAATTTCGAGTTGTTTAAAGTAAAATATAATCATCGCCACATTGACAATAAACCTAAAAACAGGTTCTATTTTCTCTGTTGAAATCCTTAAATGGTCCCAATTCCGATTTAATAATTATTTTAGTAGGATAGTTTCATATCCACTATGTTCCACTTGTGCATTCAAATGCCCCTGCAACTTGGCCAATGCCATTTCCAACAAGTTCATTTATATCCAAACACATTATTTTATTTTTTGTTTGTATTGGCTACATTAAGGCTGTGTTTGATTTAAAGGAAAAAGTAGAAAAATCTTTACAAACTTTGTCCCTATCTTTTCCTTCAAACCAAACATAACCTTAGTTTCAATTATCTTCTTGTATTGTGCCAAATTAATTTATGGCAAATACTATAGTGCAGCCATGAAAGCTAGTTATGTATGGTAAAGCTAAATAGCCAACCACCCCATGAATTTACTAAGCTATCCACTTGTAATTCAAGGTTTTTATAGTTGATTGGCTCAATCTTGACTTTATGGTGTGGAGGAATTACTCTTTATTTAAAGATTTATTTAGAATTACCCATTTGAGTTGGTATGTATTTACTTGGATGTATATTATAGCTCATTCCAAACTTATTATCTACATTATATATCCACAAGACACATAAATGAGAACATACAAGTATGATAGATGTTTTGGATGTGTGGTTGTGATGTATCTTGTGGGTAAGTGCTGATAAGATTCTCATGGATAGAACTCGTTTTCAACCTAAACTATTAAGTCTTAACATTGAATTTTTCCCAAAGGCTCAGTTTGGAAGGAGTACAAATATAAATATGTATAATGTAAATACATACAAAATGATACAAAATATAAGGTTTTACACTCTACATATTTGCATTTGTATTTCTTCCAAACTTAACCAAAGTGTCTCCCTCTCTTTCTCTTTCTCAATGAATAATCCCCTATAAAATATCAATTTGTAACTTAATTATCAAGTCAATGAATACACGTCCCTTTTCACAGCCATAACCTTTAATTAAATAATAAGTCAATAAAGTATATTTGGTGAAAACAATTGGCAATGTTCAATGAGGGAGTACTAAAAAAATGAGTAATTCGTTAAAATCATAGTGTGAACCTTTTTCTAAATAAATGGCAATTGTCCAATTTTAGAAACAAACATTTACAAAAGAA